ATGGATTCAAAACGCGTTCCTCTGAGTGGTAATTTGAGTTTGGGAAACAGGAAAAAGTCACACGGTGCAAGATCAGGTGAATACGGTGGCTGTTTGATGGTATTTATTGAATGTTTGGCCTTAAAATCGTTGATAATGTTGGCTCGGTGCGAGGGAGCATTATCGTCATGAAAAATCCATGAATTATCCTTCCACAATTGAGGCCGTTTACGGCGGATAGCTCTCACGACCGATGCCTAGCTCTCGTGCTATCTCTCTAACACTCACATGAGGATTTTGGAACACGATTTCCTTTGCCTTTTCAATGTTTTCGTCGGTGGTAGAGGCCGAAGGTCGTCCAGAACGCGGCATGTCTTCGACGGTCGTACGACCGTCCTGAAAGGCTTTGTACCACTCATAAACTTGAGTTTTCGATAAAACTGATTACCCATAAGCCTTTTGTAGCATTCGCAACGATTCTGCACACGAAATTTCGTTCGAAAAACAAAATTTGATGCAAACTCTTTGTTCAATATTTTTTTCCATTGTTTTTTCGCAACGCACTACTGAGGGGAACTGGTTTCAACAGCTGCCGTAAACGAACCTGTCTGACGCAGATCATCAGACATCTTGATTTTTGGCATAGTAATTAAGACCCCTGCTGCCAAACTACCGGCATAAACTTAAAATATCGAAAAATATACAGCGCGCGAATTTTAAATGAGAACCTCCGAAAACTTTTCGGTCACAATGTATTAGTATTGAGCAAAGCGAAAAGGCAGATGAACTTACAAAGCAAGGATGAAGTCATAACTTCAGTGCCCCAGAGCCTAGAATATCATTAGGCTACAACATGACTGCAGGTGAAAAGGGATTAGCACTTGTAGATAGGCTAAACTCATAATGCCGAAACCGTTGGCCAGGAAGTTATAGAAGTGCTTAGCTATTCGCGTAGCAACCTAAGTTGGTTAATCTCATTGATTACTGGAAATGGAAACTTCAAATGAGCTGCTTGCAATAACAAGGGATGTAATTAAGCGATCGAAAGCCACTTTGACTTTAACTCAATAACGACATCCGAGAATTGAAGAAAAAGGACCTAAATCGCTTCATGGTCTACTTCAGCTAATTCTTTACCTCAGTAAGGCCACTTAATGGACGGTGCGCTGTGCCAACATCCCACAATGTATATATAAATGTGTGGATGTATATATAAATGTATATATAAATGTTATTTTTGTATGATACTTTAAATTAGAGAAGTAAGAAAATAAAGTTAAGGAATATTATTTTTGTAAGATTTATATATGTATGATTTACATAAACGGAAATTATGTAAATAGTTGAAAGTATTTCTTTTTCTTTATAGTTCAGCAAGCTTTGGTATAAAAATGAAGTTAATTGATATTAATGAATAAACTATTGAAGTGCTCGAGTGTCAAAAACATATTTCTAAAATACTTTGATGGTGGATATTATGCGATTGGACATTGGGAAGACTAAGAAATTTATTTATGAATTGACTTCTATGGTTAACTAATTTCATTAAATATTAAACTATAAATAATCATAATTTTATCATAGCATCTTTCTTATAGCTTATATTTACATATTTATATGCAATTAAAGAAATGCGAATTTCTTCAAGCACATAAATGTCTTCACCAGAATGATGTTTTCTTTCATATAAGCTTAATTAAATCCTACATAATAAGATTTTCGCTCTAATCCGATTACTGATAACCCAAAATCGTTGCATATATTTGTAAAGAACTGAATGAGGAGGGCGATATCTTACTGTTGTGTTTACTGTAAATAATATATCCACTCATTTTGATCAACTACATAGCCATGCATATTAATGTGTACACATATGCATAATCGCAAATAACGCAATTTGTACATCAGTCTAAAAGTATGCAATGCAATTTTCTTCAAATGGTTTGAATTGCAGATTAAATTCAATTGGCTTTGATTAACGTCTTGCTGCTTAATGCATAAATCTGTTTGTGTGGGTTAACGTTGTTCTGTTGAATTCATTTGAAAATGACAATCAAGCCACATGACATCATGGCAGACCAATTCATGTGTCCACAATAGTTGTAGTAAAATATCAGTTTCAATGTGAATCGGAGAATCCGACTGAGTAAGGGGAACTTAAATTGCACTTCATTGTTGATATGATTCAACAAAGTTGCTGTCGCATGTAGTCATTTGGTTTCATTTCAGTGATATTATGATAACACTATAATATTAATTAACTGAAAGTAAGACTATCGTATGAAATTTTAAAGCATTTGCTTAAGCTGCGGTGTGGTGAAGTATATTAATTTTGAGCTATTGTGAAATTATCTTTGCTTTTGCTTGTAATGATGGCAACAGATAATTGTAAATGTTACAATAAGACAAAAGAACAAATTTCAGGCCATAATAAGGGTATACCTGAGGCCATAATTTTTAATTAACTCAAGTCTTAATGTACAACAACACTTAAACATGTATTTTTCGACATTTATAATGTAAATAAATTAACTAAACAAACATATTTCGCTCTTGTTGATTTTAAAGTCTAATTAAATTTTGCAAACATTTAAATGTTGCTATTGAGGTATGGCTTTTAATTGAATGTTAATATCTTATAGGAATGGTGACATCCAACTTACGCCATTCCTTGTAATTAGGCGTTTGCTGTTATACGAAAACAGATCATGAAAATCATTGTATGCTTATAGGTGCAATGTAACGTAAAAGTATTAAATTTATTTTTAATATATGACAGAAGCAAACGAAAAACAGTTCAAGAAAACGTTTAATAAAATAATATATACATATATCAATGTATATACAATAATTAATGTATACTGCTGAACTCAAAAACTTTGCTTCATTTCTTTTGATTTTTATTTCTTTTGAAGTTCTATCTTTCAAGAACGTCGAGTAACCTAAGTTAAATGATTTAGGATAATTATTTTATTTACAAACACATTAAATGTAGAATCTTTCAAATGTACTACTTCTGCGGTAGTATTTATCTATTAGAATTCACAATAAAACCAAACATATTAACAATGAAAGTCAGCAACAGATCTTCTTAGCTAATCAGGTATAGTTATGTTGATAGATGCATTGATTTGAAAGATTAAGTTATAAATATGGTTCAATATGTTCTATTACAAAAATTACAAAAGGAAAGTAAAAAGTATATAATAACATATATTAAAAATTAACATATATATATATATATATATATATATGTATTTATTGACATATTTATGAAACGATTTAGGCAAAATTAAATACAGACAAACCTAAAAATAATCTCACAAATTTTTTGGTGTTTATAAACAACCAAAAGTGCTAGCTAATGGCACCAATAAAAAAATTTCATAGAGGCTGTACCGAAAATAAATGATAACGTTTTTCGGAACTGAACAAGAAAAGAGGAATTAGAACAATTTTAGAAAAATAATTAGAAAATTGCTCAAAAAGAGGAATATTATACCAATTTCACAAAACTGGAAATAAAAGTAAGTGATGGTACATGTCGAAAATAGACGAGTTAAGATGAAGAAATGTAATTACATACAAGAAATACTAAAATTGCCTAAAAATGCTAACTAAAGACATCAAAAATAAACAAAACCCTATACAGATGATAAAAAATTGCTTGCAAATATCAAAATTCGAAAATTTTATGATAATAAAAATTGCAGAAAAAATGCACGGCATTGCCAGCTAACAGTAAAAAAATAAGTCAAACCTCTGTAAATATTTATTCAAAGTTTTGGAATTGAACAAAAAAAAAACGAAAAAAATAAATAAAATATATAATGAAGAAAATAAATAAATAATAAAATTAAAACAGAAAAAGGAAACGGAAAAATTGAGGTCCATTAAAGTAGTTAGATAAGAATTTAGAAAAACAAGATCACATTTAGTAGAAGTACTTAAAAATTTACATCTACATGATCTAAATATAGATTTAAAAGTCCTTTACTTGATCTAAGCATAGACTTCGAAGTACTAAATCATGTACTTTTACCTGATCTAAATATTATTTACCTGATCTAAGAAGCACTAAATCACGTACTTGGATGTAATCGAAATATAGATTGAGTATTAAATCACGTACTTTCACCTGATCTAAATAAAGATTCAGAAGCAACAAATCACGTAACATTAACTGTTCTTAATATGAATTTAGAAATACTTAATCGCTTACTTTGACCTGATATAAGTACAGATTTAAAAGTGGTAAATCACGTACTTTTACCTGATCTAAATATAGATTTAGAAGTACTAAATCACGTACGTCTTTCAGATCTAAATATAGATTTAGAAGTATTAAATCACGTACTTCTAGCTGATGTAATTATAGATTTAAAAGTACTAAATCACCAACTTCGACTTGATTTAAGAACAGATTTAAAAGTACTTAGTCACGTACTTCTAACTGATTTAAATATAGATTTAGAAGAACAAAATCAGATTTAGATCAGGTAGAATGATCTAAATATAGACTTAAAAGTGCTAAATCAAATACTCCGATCTGATCTAAACATCGATTTAAAAGTACTAAATTATTTAAGTTATAATAATAATTATCATATGTTAAAAGTCGATTAAATTAAACAAAAGTCAGGTTCTTAAAATAAAATTTCCGAAACAAAATATAGTTTTATTAGTTATAGTTTATCTGAGTCTTACAGAAATAGTTATTTTTCAATTGAGCACATATACGAGTATTTTTCAGTAACTTTTCATACAACCTGACATCTATGGCATTAACCACTTAAACCTTTCATGCAAATGGAAAAAAACTGCAAAACTTTCATCATCGTGAAGCAATAACGAAGTTTTTATGATGACAATTACAGGTTCTTTCCTTTCTTAGTACAACGTGATAGAGAAACGTTAGAAAAACTTCGAAAGAGCCTTTCCAAACAGGTAGCAAATGCCAAATGTGGCAGATGATGTAATAAAATGGTTGGTATAAGTCTTGTACTTAATCATCTTGTTCAATTCCCGAAAATTTTCCCAAAAGCTATAGTCTACCAAGACATCCAGTCGTTTTTGAAAATCCACGCGGCGGGATCGCTGCATCTTATACTTGTATGAAAGCATAAATGGCACGAAAGAAGTTGGACGATCCTTGTCTGGTTCGAAGGGTATAAATGCAGCATCGGGAATATCCATTTGTTGTCTAAGCCATACATGACAAGCACACACCTGCTCCTCGAATCGTGCTTGCGCTTGCAACTGCAGTGTGGGACACATGCGAAGAGCGGTTGTACCTCCCACAACTGGCAAATTGAAGTAATCTACAACATGGTGGCTAGCAAACTGCTCCATATCCTCGTCATTAAAGCCTCCACCGTACTGTAAATATTGAAATTACTTAATACACAAATATGCTAAAAGAGTTTATATTGAAATAATTACACGTCTGGGATCCATCTATTTCCTTAAAAGTTTAATAAACCAAAACACATATATACAGACTATTGTATTGTTTGCTAAAAATACTTTAAATTTTGTGGTTTTTAGATAACGTTGCCAAATTTGTGGAAAAAACACACAATTGTTTTTCTTGTTACTGATAGATATACACATAAAATTTTACTGTTTCATATTATCAAGTAAAATTATGACATGAAAAACTAATTTTTTGGAGCAGAGAGTACTAGATTAAAAAATAAAAGTAATTTCATAAGAGCTACCATTTCAATTTCAAGTATCAATTAAAAATTAAGTTTTTAAAGCAATTAAGCTTGTCACGAAATATCGTATGGTATATCTGTTATCCAGATGTTAGTGTGTTCATCTGTTAACAAAAGACAGATGTCCGAGCATTGGAATATTTCTTAGAAGTGTGAATCCGACAAATTGGACAAAATCTACTTACTGTTGCCTAAAACGTCATTTCCAGTATATTTAAATAAGCTTTTTAACATTAAGTAATACCATAGAAAGTACGAGATAATTTCAAAGACAGCAGTTGTAGTATATCAAAATTTTCTCCTAATCAGATATACCGTATAGATAAGATATGGGTTCATTTCAGTGACTACAGACATAGCTGTGGATTGGAGGTGGCAGAAAGCAATGTTGCTTAGAGACTTTAGTGCCATTCATTGTTTGCTAAAAGGCACTAGATTGTCCTTACTTTAAATTTCTATATGTTATTACTAATGTAAGATAATGTTTTTTTCAGTAGCACTTGTACAAAAGGCTGTAGAGTTTCCTTCCCCCAAGTTTCTATTCGATATTCTTAATGTAAGATAATGGTTGTTTCAATAGTATTTTTACAAAAGGCTCTAGAGTTTCTTTTCTTCAAGTTCTTTTCTTTCAAGAGAATTCGCCAAAGGAACTAAAAACCATACCTTCACGGGTCTGTATGGAAGATTGGGTTCAGCGTTGGCATTTGTGTATCGCTTCAGAAGGAGCATATTTTGAAAATAAATTTTTGTTGTTGTATTTCACTACTGTTCGAAAAAACCTCTTTATAAATTTGAAATAAAATTTAAATTTATGTGTTTTATTTACAAAATCCGAATACTTTTCGAGCAGAAGGTATATGATTAAGTTATCTCTGGAACTACTCTACAATTTGAAACACGTAGTGAGTAAATACTTTTCTTATTATCTATCAATATATTTTTTAATCATTTTTTCCACTGTTCTCATATATACATTCATATAGACTACTCATATCTTCTAGGGAAAGACAACGCAAGCCACAAAAATCAGTGCTCTTCATATGTAAAATTATACGAATTAGCCAAGGTTCAAGCCAAAGTAAACACGCATTCACTTGCGTATTTATGCAATTCATTATGTTTTTAATTATAATTTGCTGCTAATTAAAGTTTAACACAGGCGTTGGGGAATAATTAAATATTTTGCGGTACAAAATTTTATTAATATTTTGCAACGTTTTTCTTTGTATACTTTTTGGCGTATTAAAATTTTATTTTATTATATTTGGTAAAATAATTGAACGGATGAGTACGTTTTGTTTTCAAGGCGATTACGCTGTGGAGTGCTGTATAAAATTTGTACTATTATCTGTAAACATTTGTATCGCAAATATTGTATATATATATATATATATATCTTAACATTACTTATAATTTAATATAACTGGTTGGCTCTTGTGGACTAGTGCAGTGTAATACAAAACAGTTTTGAATGGTTTTTCATATTAAATAGTATATAAAAAGCAATTATTAATTTTAATAACCATTTTGGGTGTTGTTGAAGAGAATTTAAATTTTTATATGCGTAAACTCTGACATTTTCCGTCTTTTATTTCAAATACACATTAATTGAAAGGATGCATTTAATTCTATAATCATTACATATGAAAAACTGGGAACTAACAAATCAGAACATAAATGGCACAATTTCATTGCAATTCGATAATAATTTCAAAATAATGCAGCCTAAAACCATACAGTGTGTATAGGTTAAATCGGCGTTGTAATAATGGTTATACGAACTTAATGATATCATTATGGATCGTAATTATGTACAGATTTCGACATAAAAACTGATAATATGAAAATACACGCTAAATGTGTTTGCAAATTATTGAAAAACATTTGTTGGTTTGTAGAAAGTATCTAAATTATATGTATGAATTTAGACATAAAAAAATGGTAGATACAGCACGTACAATTAAATTAAACACACGATAATCAAATTAATACTGTTTATTTTTTTAATGTCACTCTTATAATTACAATCTCTCCAAAGGATATTATAACATTTTTAACAGCTACGAGCCTATCCAACTAAAATGAATTTGTCACAATAATCCTCAAAGAATCCAATGACGTGTGGACATAGTTTTCAACCACAAAAACCTAAGCCCAGTTCTGGCACAGTACAGGAGATATCACAGAGTAGACCATGCCTAGCTACATGCCAGTGTCCTGTAAAGACAAATATCACCCTAGATTCCTTTGATTTTCTGCTGTGTATCAAGGTAGAGGTTCTGCATTTGAAATAGATTGGCCATATATCGTTGCATGTAATTACTAGTAGATATGTTACCTTCACTTTTTACTTGCAGTGGTTCTAAAATTGTTTATGCTGCTTCTATTCATTATCTTATTGACCAATATTCTCTTTGTGGTTTATAAAAATAAACTGAAAATTCCAATTAATTTCTTAGCAGCACATTTCATTTCACATTACTTGACGAAACTATTTATTTTCTGAGATACGTTTGAGACACGTTTGCAAATGCAATCTACATTTCATTTAGTTAAACAAGCTTTTGTGAATAATTTTTCATTTTTGTGCATATTTATTGCTTTTTATATTTTGCCTGAGGTGCGTTTTGACAGGATAACACTTTTCACTATCATTGTCGGCATGCTCAACATATACTTAATTTTTGGTCTTTATTGCAAACTCTTTGACTAGAAAGTTTTTGTTCTAACAGTTTTGTTTGCTTTCTTTGCCTTGTCTTAATACCTTTTTAATTTTTATTTTCTTAAATATATATCAAATTTATGTATAACACATTTCTTTCCAGTTGCATCATTTCGTCCTTGTTCTTAGCGATTTCAATTTTTTTCAACAAACTTTTAGTGCACTTATTCAAGTGCACATTTGGCCAAAATGCAGACTTAACAAATATGTACATGCACACACACTCTACACACACTCTACACCCATAAACACCCGCTCACATGCCATTTTAATGGCACATTTCTTTGCAGAGCCATTTTCACTTCAAGGATGTGCAATGCGCACGCCATTGCTTATAATTTTGTAGAAATTGAAGACCGAAAAAGGAAAAAATTCACAAAAATAAAATCATAGTAATAGTTGTAAGAAAAATCACAAAAAAAAAAAAATTAATGCACATTTAGTACATTACATATATAATAATATAGATTTTATTACGTATATATGCAATCTTCATGGTCTGCAGATACTTCCCGAGCCAAGCGTTGAAAGCGGAAAAGTTGAACGTGTTAAAAGTTTTCGAATAATTTTAATGCACTTTTTTATGCCACTGCAGTCAGATGTGTGCATAGGTGTGTGTGTGTATGTAGACTGCAATGACAGCACATGTATATATACATTTTTGTATATGTCAACAATTGATATATAGTATAAATATATATATATGTATATGTATTTAGTATTATACGCACACTGTCTTCGCTTTAGTTGCATTTTTGTGCTGCACACTTTAGCAGTGGCGAAAAGAGCTTTAGAAATTTTCAGTGCATACATTTAGGAGCATAACATAGAAATGCATATGATAAAATTGCTCATAATTCTTAAGGATTTTTCAACTTTCTTGTACATTTTGTTGGTGCAGTGTTGCACTAAATGTGAAACTAAGATCGAGCTACTTATCCACTGAGGCAGGATAGAATACCTGGTAGCTTTGATGTTCCGTAATACGATGGTTGATTATGCAAGATGGAAAGAAAAAGAAAGAAATAAAGATAAAAATCTTTTTAACATTATTTTTAATTTTAAAACAGTTAACTTCATCTGATTACATTATTTGATTAAACAAATTTGGAAATATGGCTATAAAGATGGTAATATTCGAATTCAATGTAAGTATTAGAATCTGCTAGTAGTGGCAGTATATTTACCAATAATCTATACAAGGATGATAAACATTGCTAAATTACGCTCAGTTATTTTAAAAATAATTGTCTCAACGTGAACGTAAGAGTGGGTTTTGAAGTAACCAACTTAATATACATTAAGACAATGGCTTTTTTTCAACGGTTCAAGCTTTTCATTTAGAGTTTTGTGATGCATGAGGAAAAGTTCCATTATAAATGCCATCTTACACGCATAATCATGGTTAGGTCAAATTGAAAGTTGTTGTTGTTTTCAATATTAATTCGAGAGGAATTTCGGTTAAATTTGGTCATGATGACGACATTTTATGTGCCTCGTCATATTGACCAAAACAGTATTGTTTGGTGTGAAATATTTGATAAGAGAATAACTAACGTCTGACGTTTGCTTGCAAAATGACAACGTATACGTATCGATATTACCCAACCGTTCTGACTAAGAACAACATACACAGACACTGAAATTTATTAAAGTGTAGCCATTAAGAAACTTATAAGAAACTTTAAAAAACATCGAGATGTCATTACAAGAAACTTCTAAAGATATCGACATGTCATTACAAGAAACTTCTAAAGATATCGAGATGTTATTACAAGAAATTTCTAAAGACATCTAGTTGTCATTATAATGGACTTCTAAAAACATTTAAATGCAATTATAAAGAATTTCGAATTAAACTGATTTGAAACTAAGATCTTCTGCATATAAATTACACACATCTACGATGAAACTGTAGCCATAATACTAAGTCTTACACCAGTATTCCCACAAAAACAAGCGACTATTTATTTCGAAGTGCTTCGAGCGCGAACAACTTTTATTGGATTTGGTTCATACACTCATACTGTTGACTGCTGTTTACGTTTCGGCTTATACGCATATATCTATGATTCGTCATCTATTACAATCTTATACTCGTATAGGTCTTTTAAAGCACCATCAGTGTATTTCTTGAGCATTTGTGTGCAAGGTGCACCTTCACGAATTT